GTCGGACTCCCTTCGTGCTGCCAGTCCTACTGTCACGCGTCTGCTTGCTACTGTCGTCACTGACCCCTCTTTTGAGTCCACTGCTGCGTCTGCTCTTGTCGCTGAGCTCGTCGACTTTGCTGCTCGCTGTCGTCTAGACTACGCTGCTAGCCTTGTTGTTGAGTCTGGGTCTGTCTGTCCTCCGTCCGTCGGGGGTGAGTGTGCTCTTGGCACGGACGTCCTAGAGGACATGCACGAGGAGTTACAGTGTCTGGCTGCTGCTTCACCTCATCTCGCGTCTGTACTGCTTGCTCCTGAGGGAGACCCGGATGCACTAGACATCCCGACTCCGCGCTCCTACGCGGAGGCCGTAGAGGGTCCCTACTCCTCTCAGTGGCAGGCAGCTATGGATGCAGAGATGGCTTCCTGGAAGTCCACAGGCACCTACCTTGACGCGGTTCCCCCTCCTGGGGCGAACATCGTCAGTGGCATGTGGATCTTCAGGGTGAAGCGGCCGCCGGGCTCTCCACCTGTCTTCAAGGCGCGGTACGTCGCTCGTGGCTTCAGTCAGCGGCAGGGAGTTGACTACTTTCAGACCTTCTCTCCCACCCCGAAGATGACCACTCTTCAGGTGCTGCTACACATAGCCGCTCAGCGCGACTACGAGCTTCACTCTCTCGACTTCAGCACTGCGTTCCTGCAGGGTAGCCTGCACGAGGAGATCTGGCTGCGCCGTCCACCTGGCTTCATTGGGACTTTCCCTCCTGGCACCCAGTGGAGCCTCCGACGGCCAGTCTACGGTCTCCGCCAGGCACCGCGTGAGTGGCACGACACACTGAGGACTACGCTTGCGGCTCTTGGGTTTGCTCCTTCTACTGCTGACCCGTCGCTGTTTCTGCGCACCGACACTTCACTGCCGCCGTTCTACATCCTCGTATACGTTGACGACTTGGTCTTTGCCACAGCGGACACTGCTGGACTCGCCTACGTAAAGTCCGAGCTGCTGAAGAGACACACGTGCACAGACCTGGGTGAACTGCGCAGCTACCTTGGCTTGCAGATCACTCGGGACAGAGCACGCCGCACCATTACCTTGACTCAGTCACACATGGTGCAGCAGGTCCTTCAGCGCTTCGGCTTCACGTACTCCTCGCCTCAGGCCACTCCTCTGTCTACCCGCCACTCGCTCTCAGCTCTGCCTTCGGATGAGTCCGTAGAGTCGAGTGGCCCGTACCCAGAGCTTGTTGGCTGCCTCATGTACCTGATGACCTGCACACGACCTGACCTTGCATACCCTCTGAGCATTCTTGCACGCTATGTTGCTCCTAGGAGACACCGACCAGAGCACATGGCTGCAGCGAAGAGGGTATTGCGCTACCTGTGCAGTACGTCGGGCATGGGGCTAGTGCTTGGAGGGCGGAGTCCAGTGGTCCTTACAGGTCACGCGGACGCTTCTTGGGCTGACGACCAGGCTACGCAGCGGTCGTCACAGGGTTACACCTTCAGCCTTGGTTACGGCTCTGTCTCGTGGCGGGCTACTCGTTCGTCTTCGGTTCTCAGCTCCAGTTGTGAGGCTGAGATCTACGCAGGGGCCATGGCTGCACAGGAGCTTCGCTAGCTCACCTACCTGCTGACTGACCTTGGAGAGCCGCCTCGTTCTCCTCCAGGTGCTGTACGTAGACAACAAGGCCATGCTGGCCTTGTGTCGAGAGCAGCGTCTGGAGCACAGAACGAAGCACATTGCTCTTCGCTACTTCCTTGCTCGTGAGCTACAGCAGCGTGGACAGTTGCGGCTTGCGTACGTGGCCTCTAAGGCCAACACTGCTGATGTGTTCACCAAGGCACTTGCGCCTTGTGACCATCAGCGCTTCTGCACCCAGCTGGGTCTTGTGCCTGTCTTGCCTCAGTTGCTCTCCTCTTGACTTTACTTGTACTGTGACATATATATACCTGCTCTTGCTTGTCTAGCTTTATATATATGTCTATACTCTTGCATGTGAACTGGCCTTTGGCCTTGCTCTTGTGCTCGGACTGTGTGGTGACTTTGTGATCCACCCTGAGCTTTGCTTTGTCTTGCTTGACTGGTCTTGTGACTCCTTGTTCTCCCCCACTTTGCCTATGGGGGTGTGTCAGAACATATATATAGCTTATACTATTCTGTAGGCTGTAGTGGGGTATCCCATAGGGGGTACAACCCAGTTAGGGTTTCCTATTTGTACTCAGTTTATTCATAGTCCATTCATTCTCGTTCTATTCTCAACATGATTGCGCAGGTGTATTTTGTTGGTGCGTGTGGTGCTGCTGGAGTGTTCAACGAGGATTGCTGACGCGCGACGTCACGCTCTGCTGTGAGCGTCGCAATTTCGAGCGTCCAATCTTCGAGTTGGCGTACCAGACGGTCGAGCTGCTCCTGCGTCAATGTGGCGAGCGTGAATTCGGCCATGACAGGGGTGTCGGGCGAGCTCAGCGAGAGCCTCAGTCGTGGCCGTGCGTGCTTACGAGAGAGCATTACGAGCAGCGGGGTTGTATCGCTGAGAGACGTCTACCCCCCCCAAAATTTGAGATAGTGGGGAAGCGAATGTGTGGGTGCGGTCCGAGAAGAGATCGTAGGCTCTGAATACCAAGTGTTACGAGTGCAATTGAGTGAACGAACGAAGATTGCACTATCGAAGCAACAAGTACAATGAGCGAAGGAATGGGCGAAGAATATATAGCGAAGCTACAGTGGTAACGGTTAATGGCTGTGGGTGTCGCGCGACGGGCCTGGCACTGAGGTTGGGAAAATGTGTCGAAGCGGAGGCCCGGAGCGCGGGTTACCCGCCGAGCCGTGAGGTCGGGATGCGACGTGCGAAAGTGGCGGGCGGATTGTCGATGCGAGAATCGCGAGTGGTAACGGTTGTTGAATGTGATGTACGCGTTGAGCAGAGATGCGAAGTAAGGAAAAAGAGGTTTCCCGTACAGAAACCAAATATAAAGGGTTGCTACGCAACCCAAAAACCGAAAAATCTTTCTGTTTTCCACATGGGAGTGAAATTAAACAGCGGCAGTAGAAAGGAGAACAGGTTCGAAGTGTACCAACCAACCGTTGACATCCCGACACCGACACCTTTCATCACCGACAACTTTATCATTGTTGTTTGATATTATATTTAACCGCTGTGTTCGCGAGCCGTGCTGGCAAGAAACTGTAGAGGCCTTCACTGTTTAATTCTGTCGCGCAGAAGCCAATTGCTGGAATAGTTCCTTCCTTTTTTCGAGCCACTGCATTGCTGGCAAGATTCGGCTAGCGAGCATGGCTGAAACATGCCAAGCCGTTGACATTTTCATACACTGTTGATCGATGAGGTGTTGACAATTTCATTGCTGCAGTAACTGCCTCGGGATGGTGGTGACTGGGGTTGCATTGTCCGGTGGGCGATGTTGGAAGGAACCCCATTTTCCCAATGAGGGAATCAGATTGGATCCAGAAACCGCCGCTATTTCCACCTTGTCGACAGTTGTTTCAAAGGCACCCGAGGATTCAGATTTACGCTTCAGACACCCAGAATATAAAATATATGAATGATGCTCTCCTGGTTGACCAGCTGTAGATCATTCTCACCACCCACTCGCGCGGGCCATTTTTTTTTTAATTGCGACCACAATTGCGTCCTCCTTCTCGAAAGGGATCCAATCATTACCTGCATTAAAATGATATCGTTTTGTACAGATCTCGGTGTGTATCTACCCACGGAAGTGCAAATCGGGAACCTGAAAACAGCGGTGAGTGCTGTACAGTTCGGTTCAGTTCCCCCAGTGCTCCCAAGGCACAAGGCGGCTGATGGACTTGGAGAATCTTAACTAAGTGCTCCCAAGGTATGCTCACAGGATCTTGAGGTTAGAGAGTATGGTTGTCGTCTCTGGAAGGGAGCCAGATAAGGTGTTGTCCCAGCCCAGGAAGCGGAGTGAGGCAAGCTTGGTCATGGTGAGAAGCAGAGGGAGGAATTGGTTGGGTGTTTGTGGGGAAAGAGGGGAGGGGGAAGGACGAGAAACACATGGGTGCCCCGTGGTGTGTGATGCACGTAGAAAGTGAAGTTTTGAGATGTGTCAAAACTTCACTTACTATTCGCGTGAGCTCTCCTCGGAGGGTTTTTGCCAATGAGTGTGGAGGTTCAGTTGCCAGCTTCCGCCAGCAAAGGGGCAAGTGAGCACGTGCACTGTCCGCACACCACCAGCAAGCCTGACGATTCAAGGGCAAATTCTCTTAATGCCCTGATCATTAAGGGTTGGGTTCGGCCCAGCTTCCGAATTTTAAGGGTTGGATTTGAGGGCAGCCCGTCCCCGTGAAGTGCTGGTTGTGGGCCTAACCCGGATTTCAAGTGCAGATCCCGCGGCTAGCCCTTATCGTCCCATACTATACCTCCCTCCCTTCCATTCCCTCACCAGTCCACTCGCCTCCTCCCAGCCATTCCCCTACTTCCTATCCCTGTCAAATCCATCGATATGTTTCGTACCTCAGCCTATTGCTTAGCTGGCTCTTAGTAGTTTGCCTAAGAAGACGGACCCGAAGAGATGTGGGGTTTCCTTAGCGAAAGTGCAGAAAAGTTGGTAGCCCTGATTTCAAGTGCCAAGGTTTGCTCTCAGCCCGTAAATTTCAGGGCAACTTTTGGGGCACCTCAGCCTCTCAAGTTCTGGCTCCAAACCAATCGACAGCCCACCAGCCGAGATATAATAGCAGCAGCATTGCTCGCCACATTTTGTGGAACTTCGTGTTATGAGTCCACTCAAAACGCAGCATTGCTTGCATCTTGTGGAGCTTTGTGTTATGAGTCCACTCAGAACGCAGCATTGCTCGCTTATTGAGGAAACTTCAAATGCATTAGTACATCGGGCGCGCCACGGCCGTGACCAGGTAGTTAGGACCGATAGAACACGTCCCTTCTGCAGTATAGCTCTATTCCAACCCAGCAGTAGTAAGAGCGAGCATCACGTGTGCCATCCATTGCTTAGTAGCACTACTCGTGAGGTTGTCGGCCGACAAGATGACGCTGCGTAATCTCGCGCCGCCAGTCCCGGCGCTGCTGATTCGGCTCCTGATATTTGCGTTAACCTGCGCGGTTCGAAAAGCGGCAGCAGCGACTCCTGTGATTCTCGACGCCGGTCAAAGTGCGTGACTTCTTAGACCTACAAAGGACGGGTGTGAGTCTTTGTCTTGACGCCGGTCAAAGTGCGTGACTTCCCAGACCTAAAAAAAGGACGGGTGTGATTCTTGACGCCGTTCGAAGTTCGCGTTACTTTTTTACATCTGACATTCAACACACAATTCGTTACATGAAAAGACTCGGTGCGCCTGTGAACGCCGTTCAAGGCGCGCGTGCGTGCCTATGCCAGCGTCCCGATTTGAAGGAGGCCGCAGCTGTCGCCGCTTTCAAGTGATGCAGAGGCGGCCTAGTCCCTTACTACCCTCTTTCAAATGACGCACAAGCCTAGTCCCCCACCCTCTTTCAAATGAGTCATTCCCCGCCATCACGTGCCAGGATCCCCCCCCTCTCTTCCTTCAATCTCCCCACTGCTATAACCCGCGCCTCCCTTCCCAATGTGGCGTTTGCCAGCTCTGCCTAGACCCGTCCTTTTCCTTCCCGCTTTCTTAACACTCTCGAAGAATACGCTTGGGAGACTCTCGGAGGATATTGGGAACGCCTCAAGCGTTTCCTTCCCCCATCCCTGCTGACTTTCTCGAAGGATTAAGGTTTCCAGTGCGTCAAATCAAAGCTCTCCTTCCCTCCCTGCCCATCCCTATTAACCTGTCTTGCAGGATACGCTTTGGAGAAGATTTTCAGTGCGTCGCCAGCCATGGTGGTGGAGGAGGACTACAGCTGCAGCCCGGGGGAATCGTCTCTCATCGTTTGCAACACGCGGGGCGCTGTGACCCAGCTGTGAGTGACAAGTTCCTTTGACCCAGCCCAGCTGTGATCCTCCCCGCTGCTCCTCCCCGCTGCTCCTGCTCCTGCTCCTCCTCCTCCTCCTCCTCCTCCTCCTCCTCCTCCTCCTCCTCCTCCTCCTCCTCCTCCTCCTCCTCCTCCTCCTCCTCCTCCTCCTCCTCCTCCTCCTCCTCCTCCTCTTCCTCCTCCTCCTCCCCCCCGTGAGGTCTCTCTACTACTCAATGCCTGAGCTGCCTTATGAAATTCTTCGTCTCTCACGCCTGTCTTCCCAACCTTACCCCCCTTCTCTTCCCCTCCTTCCCCATCTCCCTTCTCTCCCCCCTCCAGCTCTCTCTACTCCATGCCTGAGCTCCCTTCCGAGATTCTCCGTCTCTCACGCCTCTCTTCCCACCCTTACCCTCCTTCTCTTTCCCTCCTTCCCCATCCCCCCTCCCCCCCTCCAGCTCTCTCTACTCCATGACTGGGGTGCCTTCCGAGATTCTGAGGTCTTCCCCTCTTTCCCCATCTCCATTCTCTCCCCCCTCCAGCTCTCTCTACTCTATGCCTGAGCTGCCTTCCGAGATTCTCCGACTCTCACGCCTGGAATCACTGTGAGTGAGGGTCGCTGCAATGACTCTAGACTAGGGCAGAGCGCTCACAGAAGCGTGCATTCTTAAGGCGCCTACAAAGTACACTGAGAGTGAGGGTCTTTACAGCGGTTCTAGACTAGATGGCAGAGCAGCGTTCGCAGAGGCGTGTAGTTCTGAGGCGCATACGCTGAGAGTGCGGTGCGGGTCTTTTACAATGACTCCAGACTAGGACAGAGCGTTCACATAGGCGTGTATGGTACATACCATCGTGCATCTAATCTGAGCCTCCCTTCATCCCTCCCATCCCAACCCTGCCGTACTGACGCCCCCAACCATCGCCCGAGCAGGAGACTGAACAGTGATGGTGGCTTGACCAGCCTGCCATCCCTCATCGGCTCACTTGCTTCCCTCACCCACCTGTCAGTCATCTCACCCACCTGTCAGTCATCTCACCCACCTGTCAGTCATCTCACCCACCTGTCAGTCATCTCATCTACCTGTCAGTCATCTCACCTACCTGTCAGTCATCTCACCTACCTGTCAGTCACCTCACCTACCTGTCAGTCACCTCACCTACCTGTCAGTCACCTCACCTACCTGTCAGTCACCTCACCTACCTGTCAGTCATCTCACCTACCTGTCAGTCACCTCACCTACCTGTCAGTCACCTCACCTACCTGTCAGTCATCTCACCTACCTCTCAGTCATCTCACCTACCTGTCAGTCACCTCACCTACCTGTCAGTCACCTCACCTACCTGTCAGTCTTCTCACCTACCTGTCAGTCACCTCACCTACCTGTCAGTCACCTCACCTACCTGTCAGTCACCTCACCTACCTGTCAGTCATCTCACCTACCTGTCAGTCACCTCACCTACCTGTCAGTCATCTCACCTACCTGTCAGTCACCTCACCTACCTGTCAGTCACCTCACCTACCTGTCAGTCACCTCACCTACCTGTCAGTCACCTCACCTACCTGTCAGTCACCTCACCTACCTGTCAGTCACCTCACCTACCTGTCAGTCACCTCACCTACCTGTCAGTCACCTCACCTACCTGTCAGTCATCTCACCTACCTGTCAGTCACCTCACCTACCTGTCAGTCACCTCACCTACCTGTCAGTCACCTCACCTACCTGTCAGTCACCTCACCTACCTGTCAGTCATCTCACCTACCTGTCAGTCACCTCACCTACCTGTCAGTCACCTCACCTACCTGTCAGTCACCTCACCTACCTGTCAGTCATCTCACCTACCTGTTAGTCACCTCACCTACCTCTCAGTCATCTCACCTACCTCTCAGTCATCTCACCTACCTCTCAGTCATCTCACCTACCTCTCAGTCATCTCACCTACCTCTCAGTCATCTCACCCACCTGTCAGTCATCTCACCTACCTGTCAGTCATCTCACCTACCTGTCAGTCACCTGCGCATCTACTAGTCACTCATTCCCTTCTCGCCGTTCCCCTCCCTCCCCCCGCTCCCCCTCCCCCCGCCCCCTTTCCTCTCCTCCTGTTCCAAACCTTTCTGTCCGTCTTTTACCTGTCCTTCCTTCTCTAACCGCCCTCTTCTCATTCCTCTCCTGCTCTAGCCATGAGTCCCCTCTTCACCTCATCCAACCCTACTACACCCCTGCTCTACTTTCCCTCTCCACCGTTCTTCCTGCTCCAGCCCTCCCTCTGCTCAGGCCGTTTCTTCCCGGAGATCTTAAGACAACTCCTAACAACCTACACCCTCCTTCCCTTCTCTTCTCCTTCCCCCACCTCCCTCCCTCCCTCCCTCCCTCCCTCCCTCCCTCCCTCCCTCTCTCCCTCCCTCCCTCCCTCCCTCCCTCCCTCCCTCCCTCCCTCCCTCCCTCCCTCCCTCCCTCCCTCCCTCCCTCCCTCCCTCCCTCCCTCCCTCCTTCCCTCCCTCCCTTATCACAGACACATCGAGTCAGCAGTCAGTAGCGGCGGCATCCCGACCGCCTTCAGCCGACTCAAGAAGCTGCGTCACTTGTAGGTGACTCAAGTGCCACTCAGATCCTCTAGAAGGCCACACCCCGCACACCTCTTGCCCTGCTTGCTTCTTGCCTTGCTTGCTTCTTGCCCTGCTTGCTTCTTGTTACATCAGCTCAGCTCACACACACTCGTCTTCCTTCTTGTTGTCCAAACACCGGCCACTTATCTTATCACCATGCTTCTTCGATGCCCCTCTGAACAGAAACTTTGTTCCTTACCAGGACACGTGTCTCTGCCAGGCGCCTCAGAAGTTACCAGGACACGTGTCCCCTGCCAGGAAACTGATCGGCTAGGAGCCGGGGGGTTCTAAAATCAATTCTTTCCACTTATTTCCCACATTCCTTCCTGTTTTCTCACGTTCTCCGTCAGAAAACTCATCAGCAACAATCTGGAGGGTCCGATTCCCGAGTCGTTCTCTGCACTCACTGCCCTCACACTCCTGTAGGCTCTCTCTCACACTCCTGTATGCTCTCTCTCACACTCCTGTTTGCTCTCTCTCACACTCCTGTATGCTCTCTCTCACACTCCTGTATGCTCTCTCTCACACTCCTGTATGCTGTCTCTCACACTCCTGTTTGCTCTCTCTCACACTCCTGTATGCTCTCTCTCACACTCCTGTATGCTCTCTCTCACACTCCTGTAGGCTCCCACAAACCTATAGCCCGCTGCTGAAAGTGGCAACAGGCGGCCAGATAGACGCACGTTTTAGAAGGCAAACACGCCATAGGTGAACACCCCATCGGTGAAACACCCCTTCAGTGAAACACGCCATAGGTGAAACACCCCATCGGTGAAACACCCCATAGGTGAAACACCCCATCGGTGAAACACGTCATAGGTGAAACACCCCATCGGCGAAACACGCCATAGGTGAAACACCCCATCGGTGAAACACGCCATAGGTGAAACACCCCATCGGTGAAACACGCCATAGGTGAAACACTCCATACTTTTGAGGTGCCTAAAAAAAGCGAGAGGCCAGCGTTTGTCTCCTAATCCCCTCTTCCACGCCTTCACGTTTGTCCCTCTCTGTCAAGTCAACCAGCTCAACTCCTCCATCGCTGCATGTTGAATTGGCTCAATAACCGACATTTGTCTTGGAGAATTCTAAAAGTGCACCTGATCTCTCTTCCACTCCCCTGTGCTGCTCTTCCTCTCTCGCAGGTCACTCTCGGTCAACCAGCTCAACTCCTCCATCCCCACAAAGCCTGTTTTTTAGTTGACTAAAAAGCAGGCACCCTGAACTCTGTACTTTTACTCCTCTGTGTTCTTCCTCTCTCGCAGGTCTCTTTCCGTGAACCAGCTCAACTCCTCCATCCCCGCAAAGCTCAAAACACTCCAGAGGCTAGCATCGATGTAGGTCTATGGCGATACTCTCTTGTGCCTTTTGAGTCTACTCAGTTTTGTGCTCCTCATACATACATGGCTCTGTGCCTTTTATGCTATGATTTGAGATACATACTTCTGTGCATATCAACTATGGGTTGGTGCTTGTTTATTCAGCCATACTTATGCGTGCTGGATCCTGAACTGCAGATGATCCTTTCATGTCAAGGATTCGTTATTGAAAGATCCGTTGCCTCTAGGTTCCTCCATCCATTCTTCCCTCTTCGCTCCTCTCCTCCATCCACGTTATCCCTTCTGCCCCCCCCTGTCTCTTCCCCCTCTATTCACCTCTCTCCCCCCTCTCTTCACCTCTCTTCCCCCTCTCTTCACCTCTCTTCCCCCCTCTTCACCTCTCTTCCCCCCTCTCTTACCTCCCTTCCCCCTCTCTTCACCTCTCTTCCCCCTCTCTTCACCTCTCTTCCCCCTCTCTTCACCTCTCTTCCCCCTCTCTTCACCTCTCTTCGCCCTCCGCGTTCCTTTTCCCTCGTCCCATTTCATTCTCCCTTACCCCTTCCCTCATCCCCCATCACCTACCCACTGTAATCTAAGCAGCAGCAACAATCCGACAGGCTCGGTAGCACCCTACCCTACCCTACCTAGCTAGCACCCTACCTAGTACCCTACCTACGCCTGTTTTGCCATCCCACCTCCCTTCCCCCCCTTGCCTGCCACACACACACCCATTTCCCTGCCCATCCGCGCAACCCATTTCTTCTTCTTCCCCACCTCTCTCCCATATCGCGCACACCCACAGCGATCTGAGCAACAACCAGCTCTCAGGCTCCCTCGCTCCCCACTCACTCCCCTTCGTGTCTGTCTTAATTCATTCCGCCCCCCCCCCCCCCCCCTCCCCCTCTCCCCCATATCACGCACACCCACAGCGATCTGAGCAACAACAAGATCTCAGGCTCCCTCGCTCCCCTCGCTCCCCACTCACTCCCCTCCGTGTCTGTCTTAATTCATTCCCCCCCCCCTCCCTCCCCCTCTCCCCCATATCACGCACACCCACAGCGATCTGAGCAACAACAAGCTCTCCGGCTCCATCGCTCCCCTCGCTTCCTTGCGAGGGCTCAACACAATGTGCGCCCCTCACTCACTCCCCTTCGTGCCTGCCTGAATTCGTTTTTTAGAATCATCGACATGAAGCCTTCGTGTCTCTCCTCACTCCCCTTAGTTCGTGTCTGCCTAACGGTCAACTTCTCTAGGGTCTGTTTCTCTTGTGCTGTATGAGGAGGCGGCCACATGCATGATCTGTATGAGGAGGCGCCTAAAAAAACTGCGGGTAGAGAGACAACTTTTGAGGCACCTCAAAACTTTTGAGGTGCCCCTCCAAAGACATGCATGATCTGATCTTCATGAGGTCCTGTGTTTTGCATAGAACTCGTGCAACTCTCTCTCTCTCAACTCTCTCCCTGTCCAGTCCGCCTCACAATCCTCTCCTCCATCTCTGCCCCTGTACCGTACTGTACCCCTCCAAACGACCCCATGGAACAGCAATATTGGCTTCAACTCCTTCAGCTCATACCTTCCGGTCTCCATCGGCAATCTGAAGCGGCTAAGTGGACTGTAAGCTGCGGCTTGCTAGCTTCCATTCCCATCCCAGTCTCCTATGTTTTTATTTTATTTATTTATAGCTTTGTAGGTGCCTTACAGAGGAACCACAGGCTGGGAAGGACAGGCCAGCCTCTATGGCAGTCTGGGTCAAGACAGCCCGGCCCGGGTCACTTTTGATTTGAGTCGACTCAACAGTCACCTCCTCAGAAGACTAGACTATGTGGTAGAACTTGTTCAAAAATAACTGTTTCAAATGTTTGTGAAACAATAGACATTTCCAATCACATTAGAAGAATAGACTATGTGGTGGAACTTGTTCAATAATAACTGTTTCAAATGTTTGTGAAACAATAGACATTTCCAATCACATTAGAAGAATAGACTATGTGGTAGAACTTGTTCAATAATAATTGTTTCAAATGTTTGTAAACAAAAAGCATTTCTAATCACACCCGTCTGCATTGCATGTGTTCACTGTTCAGGTTCCTTCAAAGCAATGCACTCAACGGCTCCTTACCCGCATCCATCTCGAAGCTCGCTAACCTTGTTCTTCTGTAAGTGTTGCTGTCTATGTTGCTATATATTGTAGTGAGCATGAGTAGGTACTGAACGAACACATCTGTCCGAACCAAACCATGTCAAATCAGCTGGGATGCTGAACCGAACCAGTGTTGGCTTTTGAGACGTCTCAAAATGCTGAACCGAACCACTGTTGGCTTTTGAGACGTCTCAAAATGCTGAACCGAACCACTGTTGGCTTTTGAGACGTCTCAAAATGCTGAACCGAACCACTGTTGGCTTTTGAGACGTCTCAAAATGCTGAACCGAACCAGTGTTGGCTTTTGAGACGTCTCAAAATGCTGAACCGAACCAGTGTTGGCTTTTGAGACGTCTCAAAATGCTGAACCGAACCAGTGTTGGCTTTTGAGACGTCTCAAAATGCTGAACCGAACCAGTGTTGGCTTTTGAGACGTCTCGAAATGCTGAACCGAACCAGTGTTGGCTTTTGAGACGTCTCAAAATGCTGAACCGAACCAGTGTTGGCTTTTGAGACGTCTCAAAATGCTGAACCGAACCAGTGTTGGCTTTTGAGACGTCCCAAAATGCTGAACCGAACCAGTGTTGGCTTTTGAGACGTCTCAAAATGCTGAACCGAACCAGTGTTGGCTTTTGAGACGTCTCAAAATGCTGAACCGAACCAGTGTTGGCTTTTGAGATGTCTCAAAATGCTGAACCGAACCAGTGTTGGTTTGAGTCAGACCGGCAGGGCCTTCACCAAATCACCAGTGATGGTTCTCCTCCTTGAACCGAACTGTGCATCGGTGATATGCTCATGGCTATATTGTAGTAGTAGGCTAGGCTCTGCTTTTGAGGCGTCTCAAAAGTTCTCCTCGAACCAAACTGTGCATCGGTGCAAAGCTAATGGCTGTATTGTCGTAGTAGACTCTGTATCTTTTATGCCTTTTATGGGTTGACTATGACCACACTCACTCACTCGCTCACTCGTTCGCTCACTCACTCACTCTCCAAAACATATTCATTGTTTGCGCGCCCATGATGGCATGGACTTCCTTGCATGCTGTGCTACGCGGCTGTGTGCCTGTGATGGCATGGTGGGGCGGGGCGGGGCATGTTAAACGATGTGTGCATGATAAAAATACAGGAATTTAAGGGACAACCGCATCACTGGCACCATACCTCGTGGCATTGGCTCCTTGAAGAAGCTCAAATCCTTGTACGCATTATAGCATGCCCTAGTAGAAGCTGAAATTCTTCCATCCTTGATAGACATTCCATGCCATGCCCCAGTAGTATCTATCTCCTCAAAGCCGATATTCCTGGATGTTTTACCTTGGGCATGAGGAGCATGAGCATGGGAGTCTCTTCTGAGAATTCTCAAAAGCTCTTCCATCCATGACATTTCATGCCCCAGTATCTCCTTCAACCCGATACCCTTGTATGTTGCCTTGGGCATGAGCATGAGCATGAGCATGAGCATGGGCATGAGCATGAGCATGGGAGCATTTTTCTTACGCACCTTACATAAAAGCTTGCATGGCCTCTCACATTTGGACTTACACCAACTGAACCCTCTCGCCCACCCCTACCACTACCAACCACCCTTGCACGAAGCAGGGACCTGTCGTACAACCCCATTTCAGGGAGTGTACCTTCAACCATGGGATCCCTAAAATCACTCATGATGCTGTGAGTATGAGTTTTGAGTCGACTCAAAACTCGTCTCATCACACCTTCAACCATGGGATCCCTAAAATCTCTCATGATGCTGTGAGTGAGCTTATGTCTTATGCGGTCAGTACCATGGCTTATGGCTTGTTCCCATGGCCTATATCCCAACACCAAGAGTCAAGACCATCGCACAAGCAGATTTCACAGCTCTGTGTTCGCCGTTCCCTCTCCTGCCTTCTTGCTGCAGCAGCATCAGCTTTTCACATATCTCCTTGACTTTCCTCCTGGCTTCACACTTCTCAACCTTCTTCGGTCTGCCTGGTTCAATTCAACGCTGCCCCCATCCATGCTTTCTTTGCTGCAGTGACATCAAGTCCTGCAGATCTCAACGGCTCTCTGCCTCCCATCCCATGCTTGAGACGTCTCAAAAGTCTGCCCCCCTCCATGCCCCCCTCCATGCCCCCCTCCATGCCCCCCTCCATGCCCCCCATCCATGCCCTGTTTGCTGCAGCGACATCAAGTCTGCAAATCTCAACGGCTCTCTGCCTCCCACGTTTGCAAAGCTCCAAGCGCTCGAGGGCATGTAAGGCAATGTAGCTGCTGTTGAGTTGACTCAGTAGGCCTTTGTAGGCCATGTACTATGTAGCTACCACTGATGTGCTCACCCAGAAGGCAGGGTAGCTGCTTTGGAGTTGACTCATAAGGCAGCCATTGTGAGAACGCAAGTGCCAAACTGAGCCAGGGTTGAGCACAGTATTGAACAATTTTTTTTTTCTGATCCTAATACATATATTCCTCCTTGTGTTACTCCTTGCTTTCTTTTTCCTTCCTCTTCCCGCAGCACCTTGGCCAACAACCAGCTCTCTTTTGAGTCCACTCCAATGTCTCCTTCCTCTTCCCTCCTCTTCCTTCCTCTTCCTTCCTCTTCCTTCCTCTTCCTTCCTCTTTCTTCCTCTTCCCTCAGCTCCTTGGCCAACAACCAGCTCTCCGGCTCATTCCCCACCTTCCTGGCAAACCTCTCATCTCTTGTCATGATGTAAGCAACGCATGATACAAACGTGATGGAAGCAGAGGGACCGATGCAACAAGAGCCCCGCCTGTCCCCGTCCAACTGCTGGGTGCGTTGAGCATGTCGTGAACGGGGAAAGGAGAGAAGCGAACGTGGATTTGAGGCTGTGCATGGCTCGAACCATTTGGATTCGAGCCCGACGCGGAAAGAAGGGCCCCGATTTAAACTCCTGCTCACTTCTGTCTCCTCCTAGTAGGAGGCTCATACGTTATTTTTTTCATATCTCCTCCTCTCCTCCTCTCCGACTCTCCTACTCTCCTCTCCTTTCTTCTAAAGCATCCCATGCCTCCTGTTGTCTCCTCTCATCTCCTTCCTTCAGCGATCTCTGTGCCAACGGGATCAACGGTTCTCTGCCCTCCTCGATCGGAAACTTCTCCAAGCTCTTTAGGCTGTACGCATGCGTTGCTGTTGAGAATTTGAGATGTCCTAAAATCCTAGAAGGACGATTGCTAGAGTTATGAGTTTTCTTGCCAAGAACTGTTGCTTCTGTTTGCCTTCGCTGCGTCTCAGATTGTCCGATTCTTTAGGCGACTCAACTGCTGCTTCTGTTTGCCTTCCCAGTGTCTCAGATTGTGCCATCTATGAAATAACATGTCTGGAGTTTCATTCCCGTTGCAATTCTGCACGAGTGCAGCGATCTGACCAACAACAGCATCAGCGGAAGCATCCCAGAGTCCATCGGCCTTCTCACTGACCTGGATACCCTGTAAGCCCAATGGAGCCCCGCTGCCATTGGACCTGGATACCCTGTAAGCCCAATGGAGCCCCGCTGCCATTGGACCTGGATACCCTGTAAGCCCAATGGAGCCCCACTGCCATTGGACCTGGATACCCTGTAAGCCCAATGGAGCCCCGCTGCCATTGGACCTGGATACCCTGTAAGCCCAATGGAGCCCCGCTGCCATTGGACCTGGATACCCTGTAAGCCCAATGGAGCCCCGCTGCCATTGGACCTGGATACCCTGTAAGCCCAATGGAGCCCCGCTGCCATTGGACCTGGATACCCTGTAAGCCCAATGGAGCCCCGCTGCCATTGGACCTGGATACCCTGTAAGCCCAATGGAGCCCCGCTGCCATTGGACCTGGATACCCTGTAAGCCCAATGGAGCCCCGCTGCCATTGGACCTGGATACCCTGTAAGCCCAATGGAGCCCCGCTGCCATTGGACCTGGATACCCTGTAAGCCCAATGGAGCCCCGCTGCCATTGGACCTGGATACCCTGTAAGCCCAATGGAGCCCCGCTGCCATTGGACCTGGATACCCTGTAAGCCCAATGGAGCCCCGCTGCCATTGGACCTGGATACCCTGTAAGCCCAATGGAGCCCCGCTGCCATTGGACCTGGATACCCTGTAAGCCCAATGGAGCCCCGCTGCCATTGGACCTGGATACCCTGTAAGCCCAATGGAGCCCCGCTGCCATTGGACCTGGATACCCTGTAAGCCCAATGGAGCCCCGCTGCCATTGGACCTGGATACCCTGTAAGCCGAGTCCAAACGTCTGCCCACCTTCCTGGAGCACCTGCCGTGCATACCTCCTCCCAATTTCTCCCAATCCCTCCCAATCACCATCGCTGATTTAGTCTTAACATGTTTCGAAACAATGTATTTTCCTCTTTCCTTGTGTCCTTCCTCTGCCCCTCCTCTGTCCCTCCTCTGCCCCTCCTCCTTTGTCCCTCCTATGTCACTCAATCTCTCCCACCTCTGTCCCTCATTTTTCCTGCCTCTGACCCTCCTCTGTCCCTTGTCCTTTCAGCTACCTTGCAGGAAACAACCTAACAGGGTCTCTTCCTGCATCCGTATCACTGTTAACGAACCTCTATGCCCTGTAAGCGGGGCATGGGCATGGGAGTCGGGGCATGGGAGTCGGGGCATGGGAGTCGGGGCATGGGAGTCGGGGCATGGGAGTCGGGGCATGGGAGTCGGGGCATGGGAGTCGGGGCATGGGAGTCGGGGCATGGGAGTCGGGGCATGGGAGTCGGGGCATGGGAGTCGGGGCATGGGAGTCGGGGCATGGGAGTCGGGGCATGGGAGTCGGGGCATGGGAGTCGGGGCATGGGAGTCGGGGCATGGGAGTCGGGGCATGGGAGTCGGGGCATGGGAGTCGGGGCATGGGAGTCGGGGCATGGGAGTCGGGGCATGGGAGTCGGGGCATGGGAGTCGGGGCATGGGAGTCGGGGCATGGGGGTCGGGGCATGGGAGTCGGGGCATGGGAGTCGGGGCATGGGAGTCGGGGCATGGGAGTCGGGGCATGGGAGTCGGGGCATGGGAGTCGGGGCATGGGAGTCGAGGCATGGGAGTCGGGGCATGGGAGTCGGGGCATGGGAGTCGGGGCATGGAAGTCGGGGCATGGGAGTCGGGGCATGGGAGTCGGGGCATGGGAGTCGGGGCATGGGAGTCGGGGCATGGGAGTCGGGGCATGGGAGTCGGGGCATGGCACTTGGAGCATGGCAATTTGAGCATGGCAATTGGAGCATGGCAATTGGAGCATGGCAATTGGAGCATGGCAATTGGAGCATGGCAATTGGAGCATGGCAATTGGAGCATGGCAATTGGAGCATGGCAATCGGAGCATGGCAATCAGAGCATGGCAATCGGAGCATGGCAATCGGAGCATGGCAATCGGAGCATGGCAATCGGAGCATGGCAATTGGAGCATGGCAATTGGAGCATGGCAATTGGAGCATGGCAATCGGAGCATGGCAATCGGAGCATGGCAATCGGAGCATGGCAATCGGAGCATGGCAATCGGAGCATGGCAATCGGAGCATGGCAATCGGAGCATGGCAATCGGAGCATGGCAATCGGAGCATGGCAATCGGAGCATGGCAATCGGAGCATGGCAATCGGAGCATGGCAATCGGAGCATGGCAATCGGAGGAGCATGGCAGTCGGAGCATGGCAGTCGGAGCATGGCAGTCGGAGCATGGGAGCCGGGGCATGGGAGCCGGGGCATGGGAGCCGGGTTGGGCAGTCCATCATTTCTGTCTTTTTAGCCGCCCAAGATATCAACCTCTTGTTGCTCTTGCTCCATTTGCTGCTTCCTCCTCTCAGCGACCTACGGCGCAACAACCTTTCAGGACCCCTACCTCCCTCTGCTTTCAACTGGTCCATGTCAGAACTGTAAGGCGGGGTCAAGCTGGCCTGATTTTACCCTAAGTGCCTCAAAACGTTTCCTGAGGCGCCTCAAAACTCCCTCTGCTTTCAACTTGTCTATGTCGGCATGTCAGTTCAACTGGTCTATGCCGGCACCTCCTTAGGAGGGGTCAAACTGACCGCTTAGGCTTCATCAATGTCACAAGTTTGAAGAAGAAGAAACAAAACAGTTATGGCACTAGTCAAGTTGCTGTATGATTGGCACTAGTCAAGTTGCTGTATGATTGACCACCTCACTGATTAAACTCACAGTGGATCTTCTTTTTGAGCCCAGCTTCTTCCAGTGATGCTTTCATGGTCCCTGGTTTCTTCCAGTGATGCTTTCAATTCCCTTCGACTCCTCGTGCAATCTCATGCAATTTCGTGTAACGCAGCTCTTTGTCAGACAACCACTTTGAAGGGGGGCTGTTTTTGAGTCGACTCAAAAACAGGCTTCCGGGCTTCCAGGCCTCAAAAATGATGTTTCACTCCCCCTCAACTCCTCCTCGTGCCATCTCATGTAACGCAGCTCTTTGTCAGACAACCACTTTGAAGGGGGTCTTCCGGCCTATCTTGGTGACTTCACTGCAGAAATGTGAGTGCACGATCCAAACCACCTCCAATAAGTCCTGGTGTGTTTTGAGTCGACTCAGAACACAGTTTCGCTGCAGAAATGTGAGTGCACGATCCAAACGATCCGAACCATCTCCAAGAATCCCAAACTTTGCGAGTGCCAGGATTCGCCTCTGAGAATTCTCAAAAGCTTGAGCTTTTTCTGACGACTTAGCACGTGTGGCCTCATGACAGAGCAGCATGAATTCACAACCCCCCACACTTACCCCTTTCTGTTGCTCCCTCTGCTATCCCCTCTGTTATCCCCTCTTCTACCCTTCCCTCTGTAACCCTCTCTGTTACCCAGTTACCCCCTCTGTTTTAACCCCTTTCCTCTGTTACCCCCTCGGGTTGGGACCCGGCCTCATGCAGAACGATAGACAGCACGCTCACATGCCCCGCTGACAGCATTTTCAAGTTGATTAGAAAACCGTCTCACCTTTCCCTCCATCACCCGCCCCACGGTCTTGCCTCTCGCAGAATGGTGGACAGCACGCTCACATGCCCCGCTGACAGCATTTTCAAGTCGATTTGAAAACCGTCTCACCTTTCCCTCCATCACCCGCCCACGGTCTTGCCTCTCGCAGAATGGTGGACAGCACGCTCACATGCCCCACTTACAGCATTTTCAAGTCGATTAGAAAACCGTCTCACCTTTCCCTCCATCACCCGCCCCACGGTCTTGCCTCTCGCAGAATGGTGGACAGCACGCTCACATGCCCCGCTGATGGCACCAACTGCTCTGCCCAACTCAAGAAGCTGGCTGCACGAACTTATGCCAACGGCTTCTGCCGCATCGTCTGCACCTCCTTCTGCCAGACCTGCATCGCCCCTTCAAATAGCACAGGGGGGGGGACAGGGGGAGGGCTGGGAGGAGGGGGGTTGGGGGGAGGGGGGTTGGGAGGAGGATTGGGAGGAGGATTAGGAGGGGGGTTGGGAGGAGGATTAGGAGGGGGGGTTGGGAGGGATGTCTAGTGGGAGCTCAGTTGGGGATTTAGGAAGTACCAATGGCTTGGTGGGCGGGAACACGCTCGGAAGCAGCTTCGGATTGCTGAGAAGCCGAGGCATGAGGAAAGGAAGGAAGCGGCGGCACTAGCCTCGCCACCTGAGCAGCATCTCCAGTTGAGGTCTCCTCCTGGGAATCACTGCCAAGGCATCAAACGACTAGTTGACATGCAGAAGCGGCTGCAATAACATCACCACCTGAGCAGCATCATATATCCATAGTTGGGGTCTCCTCCTGGGATCACTGCCAAGGCATCAAACGACTAGTTGACAAGCAGCGGCGACTGCAATGACATCACCACCTGAGGAGCATGTAAAGCTGAGGACGACTCCTGGGATCACTGGCAGTGCACCAAACTGGGACTACCTGACAAGCAGATGCAGCTGCAATAACGTCACCACCTGAGCTCTATATCCAGCCAAGATTTCCTCCTGGGTGCCTCCCAGGCGCCAGACAGCTTTGCAAGCATCAGCAGCACATGCTTGTGAATGAGTGTCAGTAGTATTGGGAGCTATTAGTAGTGGTAGTTCAGCTCCATGTGTTGGGTTTTGGGTGTAGGGTACCCTTTTTGGGTTTTGAATATTCCGTCTAGGTTTGAAGCATCTTTGTGGCATTTGGGGAATCTTTGTTGGGCTTAAATGTAGAGTGTAGTGTAGCACAGTTGAGAGGAGCTACAGTGCATCCTACTGTTGCCCCAAATTGCCCACACCTTGCCTGTATATATCTCTCGGGCTCTTTCCCTTTCTAGTGCACCTTTTCTCATTCTCAACTCTTCTCTCCAAAACCCGTGCACCGTTTCCTAGTTCTATAATGGTACCTATAGCTGCTCTTTCCAAGGACCGAAGTCCCTTTGACCATGGCGCCACCCTGCCACCCTCGTCCTGTGACTCCTCACACCCCGTCACGCCCTGCTGCGACCGCCGCTCTAGGGGAAGGTGGAAGGGGTGATGGCAGTGGCTGACGACGGGTTTAGGGAGAGGCATGTAAAGACGAGCCATCTGGTATGTAAGGGAGAGGAACCGAGCCGACATGCAAACAGCCCTAGGAAGCACACAGGCATAGTATCATGGACAGACAAGGAACCCAGCGCTCTGGGCGGGGAAGATGGGTAACCAAGCAGAGGCCTATTGTCCGAAGGCCCAAGGTCTACTTTCAAGCATGTTCTCCTCTCGTACTACTCCCAGGTCCAGCTCATCGTCTAGGAGTTGCCTGATCACCCAGCCGAGGCTCCCAAGGGCCAGTTGGTGCCTGTGGGAATGCTGTCTCTGCTGCACTGTTGGACTTAGCCAACAGGGCGTTAGCCTTGCAGCACTGGAGCATCACCGACCATTACTGGCGGTAGTGGGCAATGAGCCTCATTGCTCATGTGCCAGGTTGTAGAGCACGTGATGCCGTTTCCACGGGTCAAATTTCGCCAAAACCCCTTGGAGGGGAATTCATGCCGACCAGAAACAAGCTGCCCAGCCGACACCGTCGACGGCGTTAATTTCATCAAACGGCGCCTCGTTGGCAATCAATCTCGTCATCATGCCGAAACTGTCTCCCTACCACTCCAAATCAGCGCACGAACACATTCTAGATGCTCCTAATATATCCTTACCCTGGCCTGTCAATAGACACATTTCAATAGCCTAAGAACATACGTTCGCTGTGTGCCCCATTCGTGCGCTTACCACCAATGATTTTCACACGACGCCAACGTTTGCCCTGCATGCTTCCCCTTCATTCTATCCCGCTTAGCCCATCCTGACACCCACAAGGTCGTTGATTGCTAGGGTTCAAGTCGTGCACCCTCACTTGTCCGCGACGCCTTCTGTCCTGGCGCCTCATACTCGCTTCCTCTCATAGCCCACACATCACTACGTCGCCGCATATTCCTTACACCCACTACGCAACTCCTTGTGGTTCTCGCTTCCTCGATTCGCTTTTATGCCTTGCTACCCGCTGGGTCAAAACGAGCGTGTTATTTAGGCGCAGTAGATGCCTTTTACACTGCTGAGAGTCACTCTACACTGGGAGCTGGACCATGGTGGAAAGCACGGGTGGTACGAGTGATCGTACCGTTTGCTCATGTTCTTGCGGAGATAGCTACTACAACGGGAGCTAGACGACGGGCTAGGCACGGGTGCTCGTGTGAGGGATCTCTGCGTTCGTTTCTTAGTCGTTCTCTAGCACTTGTGCATTCACAGGGCAAAATTGCAAGAGTTTCACTAGCAAAAGTTGAGAGCAAAAGCACTGCAAGTCGACGGTGTGCCAACGTCGCAGGTTGACGGCATGCCAACGTTGCATCCGCAGAACAGCAGCGCACATGCTTCGCATGTGCTCGCAGATGATTGGCGGCCCGTGCATTGTCACCTGCATAGCGCGCACACCAAATCAACCTGGCGCTGGCGACTGCATTTGATCAGGCACGTCGACCTCGGGATACCACACCGAGGTCCGGCTCGCCACTAACACATGGGCGACTGTCGCGTGCCTCCGCAGAACTTTGTCGCCCGGGTAACTTGGTCGACCTGGAAACCACCAGGCCGGCGTCGACTTCTTCGCAGAAAGTCGACCAGAAGTTGTGTGTGCTCGTCGACTGCCCAAGTCGACGACCACCAGCCGAATTTTCCAAGTCGGCCACTCCCCAGGTCGGCGCCTGCCAAGTCGGCGCCTCTCCTCTTCGTGCCCGTCGACCGCCCAGGTCGACGACCACCACCCGATCGACCAGACCAAGTCGACCACACCCCTGGTCAACCGATTCCAGGTCAACCAGCCTTACTGTCAGTCGACCACACCTAGTCGGCTTCACCAGGTCGGCGTCACCAAGTCGACGCCCTGTCTGGTCGACCTCCCAAGTCGACCTCCTGAAGTCGGCGCCCTCCCAAGTCGGCGCCCACTGCTGCAGGTCGGCTGCACCTTACGCACACCCGACTACGAAGTCGACTTCGCCCAAGCGAGGACGGGGCCAACATACAACTCCAGGCCGGCGTCGACTTCTTCGGGGAAAGTCGACCAGAAGTTGTATGTGCTCGTCGACTGCCCAAGTCGACGACCACCAGCCGACTTTTCCAAGTCGGCCACTCCCCAGGTCAGTGCCGGCCAAGTCGGCGCCTCTCCTCTTCGTGCCCGTCGACCACCTTGGTCGACGACCACCCCTGGTCGACCAATTTCAGGTCGACCAATTTCAGGTCGACCAGCCCTGCTATCAGCCGACCACACCTAGTCGGCTTCACGAAGTTGACACCCTGTCCGGTCGACCTCCCAAGTCGACCTCCAGAAGTCGGCGCCCTCCCAAGTCGTCGCCCACTGCTGCAGGTCGGCTGCACCTTACGCACACCCGACTACGAAGTCGGCTCCGCCCAAGCGATGACGGGGTTATTAACAACTCCCGTTGATAGTTCTCTCTACTTGCACATTCACAGGGCAAATTGGGAAGATTTTCACAATCAAAAGGTTGAATACAATGATGATATCAATGGCAATAGCAAAGTAACTACACATAGGACCTAGCAGCCTAGCAACCAGGTAGGTTGACCTCCAGCGCAACACAAATACGTAACAAGTCGACGGCATGCCAGCGCAACTGGGAGGCGACTTGCGAACACTACAAGTCGATGACATGCCAACTTCGAGCCGCAGGTGACTACAGCGTACACGTGGTGCTAGTAGGCGGCCGAGCACGTTGTGCCCCATCCCGCACATCGCGCAAGTGCCAATTTGGCCAAGTGCCGGCAGTTGCGCCAGATGTACCACGTCGACCTTGAGATATCATAGCGTAGGTCGACTTCGCCAAAGCATTCAAGGGCGAAACCCTCACACCCGCCAAATTTCGCAGTTGAGCAGTTTTTGTCGACCAGTTCGACATTGCTCTGTTGAACAACACTTATCATTTGCATCGATTGTGGAAAAACAAGCCCTTGATTTTTTAGGGCAATCGAGGAAAAGTACTCTCGAAGTGGTACCCCTATCATCCACCATTGTTAGACGCTGTTGGTACAGGAAGTTGGTGTAGGATGTGGATCTAGTGTAAGCGACATTTGATCGAGACGAGAGATAGGGTTCTTAATTAAGGGGGTAAGGGAATCGCATGTTAGGGCATGCTAAATTGCGGCCCTTAATTTCAGGATTCTGCACAAAAATTGCCTTTTTGAAATCATGAATAACCCCGAAACCGGCCATTTCTATATCAGGGCTAGATATTTGGAGGCCATCAATATCAGAGATGGTGGCAAATTTAGCACTGGAATTAGAGGGCAATCAGCACAATTGCTTTGGACGCGGCATCCCTGTCCACCATTGTTCGACACTGCTGGGTGTTGGGTTAGTGTAAACGGCATTCGATACTACCACACATTTGAAAAATGTCACTGTGGTACCTACCCGCCTCCTATATGAAACCGAGTGTGGATGTGCCATTTTTTTTACCATCAAAAGAATGTATTTAGTGTACTTCCGTATACCGCCTCATCTTTCCTAGGATGGCGTGACGGGGAAACTATGCCACATGTAATAAACAATGGTCTCGATAACTTGTTTGGTAAAAACATAACGGGTGCGATAACTGCAAATGATATTTTCACGTGCTTGATAAAACGTTTCACGTAATGAGTCACTACTAACTGGGAAAAAATCACGCGAATGGTCATAGATGAAGCTCTACAAGAAAAAGATAACTCGCCAAAGGGAACCTGGATGCATTTTCGGAATGATCAACCCTAAATACTGTCAGAACATTATAGCTTATGCTTTTGTGTAGGCTGTAGTGGGGTATCCCATAAAGGGTACAACCCAATTAGGGTTAGTACTTGTACCCACTTCATTCATAGTTCATTCATTCTCGTTTCAGTCTTCTCATGGTATCGAGCAGGTTCCCTCGTGGGAACTATTCCTAGGGCCCTACTACTGCTTCCGCTGCTACTCGATCTGTCGCACGCCCCGGGGCGTGCGACCTATTTGGCGCGCGGCGATTTTCTTTCTGGCGCGC